CCCCCTTCGTGAGGAGGTGTCGATGGACAAAACGGAGGCTCAGCGGCTCGCGCGTCGCGCTAAGTCCTTTGTCGTTATTGAGGGCGAGCTCTACAGGTGAAGCCACACCGGGATCCTGCAGCACTGTATCCCCATCGAACAAGGGAAGCAATTGCTGAGTGATATCCATGGTGGGGTCTACGGGCACCATGGCACACCTAGAACCCTAGTTAGAAACGTGTTCCGACAAGGCTTAGCCGACCACAATAGCCGACGTTGAACAGATTGTGCGCACCTATGAAGGGTGTCAATACTAGGCTCGGCAGACCCACCTGTCGGCTCAAGCACTTCAAACGATCCCCATCACATGGCCATTTATGGTCTGGGGGCTCGATCTGGTTGGACCTCTCAAGAGGGCACCCGGGGGCTATACGCACTTGCTTGTCACCGTAGACAAGTTTACAAAGTGGATAGAGGCTCGACCGATCTCCGCGATCAAGTTCGAGCAAGCCGTGTTGTTCTTCCTTGACATCGTCCATCGCTTTGGAGTCCCGAACTCCATTATCATGGACAACGGCACATAGTTCACCGGGAAAAAGTTCCTCTGATTCTACGATGAATACCACATCCGCGTCGATTGAGCCACCATGGCGCACCCCTGCACGAACGGGACGCGCGAACGGCATGGTCCTACAAGGCCTCAAGTCTAGGATCTTCAACTGGTTGAATAAGTTTGTTAGATGATGGGTCGTGGAGCTTCCTGCGGTGCTCTGGAGCCTGGGGACGACCCCCAGCTGGGCCACCGGCTATAAGCCATTCTTCATGGTCTATGGTTTCGAGGCTATTCTCCCGACTGACCTCGATTATGGAGCGTCGAGGGTTAGGGTGTATGACGAATAGGGAGCCAAGGCGTCCCTCGAGGATGCCATGGACCAGCAAGATGAAGCGCGCGACATTGCCCTCCTCTGCTCGACCAAGTACCAGCAAGCGTTGCACCGGTACCACAGCCGTCGAGTGTGGGGTCGGGCCTTCAACATCGGGGACCTGGTGCTCTGCCTCGTCCAGAGCAACAAGAACCGCCACAAGCTCTCTCCGCCATGGAGGTGCTCCGACCAGGCACCTATAAGCTCAAGACCATCGACGGTGAAGTCTTCGTCAATGCCTGGAACATCGAACAACTATGTCGCTTTTACCCTTAATCTATGCACGCTTCCTCTTATCGATTTTGCTATCAACTCCTCGATCTTTAGTGACACCCGATCTTAGCAATAGCAAGGGGTCGGGCCTCACTCGGGGGTTGATAAGAGCATATCTATCTGGTAGACATTCTCTATGTTCGACCCTTTCTCACGTTAAGATCTAGAAGCAAGGGTTGTGGAAACAAACGCTGAGTAAAACTGGTCGGACCACAAGAAACCTATACCCCAGCGGCTATGACATTTTTGCTCACCAGCGTGATCAGAGTTTTTTGCCCGCACCCTGAGCTTTTTAGCCTTAACTACGGAAAGAGTCGGAACGTATTAAAGAGTATATCTATCCGGTAGACATTCTCTATACCCGACCCTTTCTCATGTTAAGATCTAGAAGCAAGGGTTGCATAAACAAACGTTGAGTAAAACCGGTTGGACCACAAGAAACCTATGCCCCAGCGGCTACGACGTTTAAACTCACCAGCGTGATCAGAGGTTTTTGCCCGCACCCTGAGCTTTTTAGCCTTAACTACGGAAAGAGTCGGAATGCATTAAAAAGTAAATGTACCCGACAAACATTCTCTGTGCCCGACCCTTTCTCACGTTAAGATCTAGGAGCAAGGGATGCAAAAACGAACGCTGAGTAAAATTGGTCGGACTGCAAGAAACCTACGCCCCAGCGGCTACGGCGTTTTTGCTCACCAACGTGATCAGACTTTTTTCACCCGCACCCCGAGCTCTACGACCTTAATGAAGAAAAGGGTCGAAACACATTAACCTTTTATACAAAAAGGGGAGACAATCTAAAAATCTGTTTGGCCATAACAAAATTTAATAGCTTGTCCACTTATTACAAGTTCGCCACCTGGCTTATCTACCTAACTAATTTCTTGGGGGGATGATCTCATCCTCTATCTCGGCAGGTAAGTCATGTGCCAGAGGGGCCACCTCCTTCTCGATGTCGTCCAGCTCAGCGTCGGTGTAGACAGGCGCGAAAACCATCACAGGTAAGGAGGGATACGGAGCTGAAAACGCTCCTACGGCCCATTCAGGCCTAGGAGTTCGAAGGTTGGCCCTCCGACGGGTTCACAGCCGCTCTGGGGCACCCTTAGAGTGAGGGTGGAAAGGGATGGGCCCACTAGTGGCCAGTACCTGGGTGCACGAGCGCCGCGAGCATCCTAGCCCATGTTCGAGTCTTGGTCGATTCCCAGTCCATGGTTTTTCCTCAAAGAAAGGCAACGAGCCCTTGGGACCGGCCAAATGGACTCAACAACTATATGGATTGGCCGCCAAGAGTCTGGAGTCGGTCACCAAATGACCCATGCTGGACCCTCGTGAACGGGAAGCCAGGGCCCCACTCGGACTAGCCCGATAACACCTCACCAAGCACCATGTTTCGTCCATCGAGGAAAAATGTGGCACGGCTCAGCTCCTCTGTTTTATCCAAAAAATGCTTGAGGGATGACGATCACAAAGACGAGCTGACCCTTGACCGGACCCCTGCTATGCGTTGGGCTCGAGGGAAGTTGGACTCGCAAGGAGACCAAACGTGCGGTCGTAGTACGACGGTAGACCGATCGAATCCTAGGGGACCGAAATCAAGAAAAATCTCTCCGACTTCCCGAACCCTACGGTTACATGCCCCAAGAAGACCAATCACGACAAAAGGAAATCACCATCCTACCAGGACACGTCGCAGGATACAAAAAGAAGGCCGAGGCCCTCAGAGTCTTCCCGTCCGAAAAAGCCTCCAAAGGAGTATTCTACTCCTCCGCAGGCTCGGGGGCTACTGTCGGGTATCGATATTAGGGATACTCAAAGCAAGAAAGTTAGCGCCCACGCTGACTTCCCCGGATGACTCGAGATGTATTAAAAGGTCTCGATCGACCCCAAGGCCGCGGGCTCCGTCTCGCCCGGCCTCGAGGCCGCGGGCTCCGTCTCGCCCAACCCCAAGGCCGCGGGATCCGTCTCGCCCAAGGCCGCGGGCTCCATCTTGCCCGACCTCGAGGCCGCGGGCTCCATATCGCCCGACCCCTTGGGTGCGGGCTCCATCTCGTCCGACCCAAAGGACGCGGTTTCTGTCTCACCTAAGGCCATGGGTTCCGTCTCGCCCGACCTCGAGGACACGGGTTCCGTCTCGTCCGACAGGGACCCATACTGTCGCCAACCACTCTAGGTCCAAGCGTATGGGCCTGGGTCAAAACTCTAACGCCAGGGAAGAGGCTGACACGCCTCTGATGTAACCCGTGGCCATGACGGGCCATATACGGGATTCACATCAAAAACAATGTCGGAAGTGCCGGTGCTGTTCTGCCGAATCCTCGTACGGACGCTGATAGGCGCGTCAGTTCACCACGACGTCCATCGGGACGGAGTGGAACGCCATGACCGACAGATGACGCATGCGCATGGTGTCAGTGACGAAAGGGCCGCGACATGGAGTCGTCCCTATTGACATCTACAGGATCGGTGGGACCCGCATGAAAGAGAAGAAGGACCCGGCAACCCTGGAAGCCTTCTTCTCTCTCTCGTTCTTCTTCTTTTCCTCCTCTGTAACATGCACCGCCGGGACAGAGTGGAACGCCATGACCGATAGATGATGCCTACGCATGGTGTCAGTGACGAACAGGGCCGCGACATGGAGCCGTCCCTGTTGACATCCATAGGATCGGCGGGACCCGCATGAAGGAGAAGAAGGACCTGGCAACCATCGAAGCCTTCTTCTCTCTCTCGTTCTTCTCCTTTTCCTCCTCTGTAACCCGCTTTTTTCCTTCGCCTATAAAAGGAGAAGCAGGGCGCCCCTACCTGGGGGATCTTGACACAAGAGCACGACACGAGCATACGGTTGAGCGGCAAGCGAGCTCTCAGCACCCGTTCACTCCTTCCACCAGAGATTTGGGATCCTCTTCCTCTCTCGCCTGTTTGTAACCCCTACTGTAAATCAAGTGCCGGTAACACGAGCAGCAGCGAATTGGACGTAGGGACGTTTCGCCCGAACCATTATAAATCATTGTGTCCTCCGAGCACACCATCCGAGCCAGACGCACAAATACAAATTTACTCGTCGATGGTCTGAAAACACCGACAGCGGGCGTCCCTAAGGATGTCTGGGCGCTAGTCGCGCCATTTTTTCTCTTGCTCAAAACATTTTATTTTGTTTTTAGAATACAAATGTATTTCATCTGTATTCGTGGCCCAATTAACAGCCCAATTCCGATCTCATCCGGTGGGCTGGCCTGCCTTCGTCGATAGGCTGGCCGATTTGGCAGCAAGCCAGGAAACAAATCGGGTAACTCGTGTCAAGTCCAGGGTGCACCGCTGTGTCCACCGGATCAAATCGCTTGAACGCTTGGTACCACGAGTCGGCTCAGCGGGATGCAGCTGCGGCCACCAATGCACGGCCGGACCGACGTTACGTTGAAATTTGAAAGGCGTCGACGCGGCGCATGGCGAGTTTGTTTAGTGGGAAGAGCTGAAGGCAGCAACTAATGACTCCCACGATGCTGACAGCAGTGAGGACTACAGCATGGACAATTGGACAGGTTACACATAGTATTACTTTCACGGCGCGCCGGTCACGAATTCACGAACAACCTAACTGGTACACGTACACTTGACTTTAGTAAGCGGCGGTTATTTGACTTTTTTTTGAACCCCACTGTCACGACACCACGCACGCAACGAGCAGTGCAGCGGTGGAACTTATTTCTCCCCAAAATGCGGCGCACGCGTCACGACGCGATCTAATCATGCGATCACAACGGTAAACACACGACGAATCGACCCCTCTTTCGGCACGCATCAGGCGCAGCGCACACGTACATCGACCGATCAGTTCCCACCCCCATGGCCTTGGTGAGGGTGCGCCGGCGCGCCGGCGGCGGCGGCCGAGGCCGAGGCCGGCAGCGCCGCGGCGGCATGGGGATGCGGCGGCTTGTACCCAGGCAAATCGCAGGGGATGTGCGGGATGAAGGGGCAGTGCTTGGAGGGGTCGGCGTAGAAGGCGGCGCACTCGAGCGGGGGCCGCTGGTCAGGGAACCCCAGGATGCAGTTGCGCCGGACGTCCAGGACCCTGCTCCGCACGAGCTCCATGCAGTGGTGCCCGACCGAGTGGAAGAAGTTGTTCGACAGCGACAGGTTCCCCAGCTTCCCGTTCCTCGCCAGCAGGCACACCACGTCGGGGACCTGCCCGTACAGCTGGTTGCCCGCCAGGTTGAGCTCCTCCACGTCGCGGAGGCATCCGAACGACAGCGGGATCGGCCCCGTGATCTCGTTCCCGCCGGCGTCGAACACGACGAGCCCCTCCACCAGCCCCACCTCGTAGGGGAGGCACCCGGACAGGCGGTTGTTGAGGAACAGCACCTCCGACAGCGTCGCCGACGTGTTGTAGATGGACCGCGGGATGGGCCCCGTGAACTGGTTGTTGGCCACCACCAGGTACTGCGCGCCCGTGCTGCCGAACGTGTCCGGGATCCGCCCGCTGAACCCGTTGTTGTTGAGGAACAGCGCCTCGACGGTGAGCGCGAACACCGGCGCCGGCACGGCGCCCGCGTACCGGTTGAAGCGGACGTCCAGGAACAGCAGCCCGCCCAGCGGCACGACGGAGTCCGGGAACGCGCCCGAGAAGTTGTTGTTGGACAGGTCCAGCTCGTAGAAGTATTGGAGGTGGGTCAGGTCCGGCACGTCGCCCGAGAAGTTGTTGGAGTTGGCGTGGAATAGGGCGAGGTCCGGGAACGCGTCGATGAACCCGGCCAGCGACGGCGCGCACAGGCCGAAGCCGTTGAAGTCGATGGACGCCACCGTGAGATTCTTCGGCGCGTCCGGCGGGTAGTCGCAGTAGAAGCCCTTGTAGTAGGTGGTGCCGTTGAAGAAGCTGTCGCAGAGCTCCGTGCCCGTCCACGTCGCCGTCACGCCCAGCGGGTCGCACGTGATCGTCTGCTTGAACGCCTGGATCACCGGGTACAGCGCCCTCAGCTTGTCGTTAAGGAACCTCCACGAGGGCGGAGTCGGCTCGCACCCGCACCCCTCCAGCGCCGGCGCCGTGCTGTTCCCGCGGTGCCAGGACGACGGCGCTGGCGCACTGCGGTCGCGGGCGACGGCCCCCGCGAACTCAACGTGGCTCGATCCGCAGAGCGCGCCGTGCGCCGCGGCGAGCACGAGCACAGCTACTACCGCTGCCGCACCCGCCATTAGTCTTGGAGCAGTGCCAGTGGGGGTTCGTTATCGCAGAGAAGGAGACGCTGGGCAGGGGGATATAAGGAGGAGGAGTGGACACACCGAGATGGGTCCATCACTCCATCCATATGCTTCCATGGACACGGCTGGCTGGGTGCAGCAAGGGCGGCACACTGGCACAAGTGGAGCACAAGCGTAGTAGCCGCTCGCGCGCTTTACGAGCGGAAAGCGGTGGGAATTGGAGAAGCTTTGGTGGGGGCGCCGGGCTGGGAGGAGCGAAGTGGTGAGATGGCACGCAGAGCAGCATGAGGTAGCTCAGTGGGGTTGGCGGTTAGTTAGTCCCCGTCGGCGGTAGGAGACGACCATGGGGAGGGAGGGGGGAAGAAGAGAAGCCGCGCGCGAGGACGGCGTGCACCGTGCAGTGCGGAGTGCACCACCACAACACAATGGCTAGCTAGCGAGCGAGCTACTCGTGCGGTGCGGCTCTGGAGGTCAAGCCTTTTCGGGTAGGGCTGATGAGTTGGGAGACGACGGCAGTGCTACCCAGTGGGGAAGACAATGGAACGGCGACGGCGACGGAAGGATCGGAACGCCGCTGGGAGCCTGAGAGTGTCGGCTGTCGACTGTCGTCGACAGAAGGGCAGGTACATGCCTTTAACCTTGAAAATTCCTGAGAATCAAGGCTGTTCATGATTCGCTGTGTGTGCGCTCCATTACTAGCACACATAGCATAATTGGAGTCATCACTAACAGAAAGTGTTTTGGGCCCTAACAAACGCTAGTGTCTTGACAGATCGGGATATCGTCATGTTCGGATCATACTTTGAGCTCCTGACGACAGAAACATTTTTATATATATACAGAAGGTCAGAAGCAACGCCATCCTCATATATATCCACTTATCCAAGCTAACTGCTTGCCAGAACAACAAAACCCTGCTAAGCTTGATCCTCATCAGTCATCACTCTATGCTATATATGGTTGTTGTTCTTATATTATACCACGAATAGGTCTGTTCATCACTGTTCTTTTCCGTTTATACTGCGATGAACTCTTGAGTAGCTAACGCCTCTGATTATTGGATGCCCTACCAAACGATGGAAGCTGAAGTGTGTCGGTTTTGCTTTGCCTGATACGATGCTTATTCTGTCGACAGCTTTGGCAAAAGAAGGAAGAAGGATATGATCCTACAGTACAAGCTTTATCTGAACAGCAAATTAAAGAAGCTCCTAAAGCAGAGAGATATGTGTGCTGCTCAATGTGTGCTGCTCAATGTAGGGCCTTGTTTAGATTTCAAGTTTTTTCACTCTCTCTCCATCACATCAAATCTTTAGACACATGCATGGAGTATTAAATGTAGATAAAAAAATAACTAATTATACAGTTTGATTGTAAATTACGAGACGAATTTTTTGATCCTAGTTAGATCATAATTAGACAATAATTATCAAATACAAACGAAAGTGCTACAATACCAAATTCTGATTCATAACCCTCATCTAAACAAGGCCTAGGTAAAGAGAAGCCACTGCTGTGCCCTGTGACCCCTCACCAAAAGAAGTGCTAACAAGATTTTTTAAACTTGAACATTCAACACTAGCTATACCTAGCACTGAAGCTTTCGTTAAAGTTGGCTGGCGACAAAACATTTTTAGTATCGGGTATGGCTATCGGTGTATCATAAAGCTACCAAACTTAAATGTCTTTTAGCGTTTGCAAAGCCCATTAGTACCTATATATAATAATTGCCTTCTGAGTTCTGACACTAAAACATAATAACAAAGCTTCAGAACCCAGCTCCAGAGCCAGGGATATGTTCATCGCACTTTGTACTCCCTTTGTTCTAAATTATTGATCATTTTGATTTTTTTATGTATATAGTTTTTATTATTTTGATAGATATAAACTATACTAAATACATATTTTTACTATATCTACCTATATAACATATACAGATGGAGGCCACTAGCAATCATTTATTGCTATAAAGTTGCAACCACGTTCAGCCACGTCATTCCAATTCTCAGCCGTTAGATTATCAATGTTTACTCAATTTTATCTGTTTAGATACCTGCTCGGTTGTTTTGTTTTCTCCTTGCGCCGCCTGCAGTTCTTGCTAGCTGAGCTGAAGAGTCTGACATGATCAAGAGCAACTGTCGTGACCTGCTCCTCCTTAATGGCACACTGTACCTCTTCCAGTTCTTCTCCCACTGAGCGCATGACGGTGCCTCTTTGCTTCATTCGTATCACACCGATAAGTAGCAAGTGCCATACCACCATGTGCAATCAAAGGATTGCCATTAATTAATGACGTTATCTCTCTTCCAATACATATCGCACTCACAAGCTGCTCCTGATGTTTTCCTATAAAGCAAAGAGGCAACCCCTTGCTCCTCCTCACCATCCCTTTGTACAAGAGTACCAAGATTTTGCCAATAATCACGAGCTTGCTTGATTATGATAGTCAACCAACGCCTCTCCCATCAAATATTGGGGAAGCTGACCTTGCTTGGCAAAATCGATGTTGTCTTCCTCCTTCCCCTCAATTAGAAATCGATGCACAGGTTCATGCTCTTTGCATGCGTCGATCTAGGTGCAGATGGAGGCCGAGGCTTTTAGATTGCCTCCAAATTCTAAGTTTTTTCACTCTTTTTCTATCACATCAATTTTTGGACGCATGTATGGAGCATTAAATGTAGGTAAAAAAATAACTAATTACACAGTTTGGTTGTCAATCACGAGACGGATCTTTTGAGCCTAGTTAGTCCATGATCGAACAAAGTTTGTCAAATACAAACGAAACGTGCTACAGTGTCAGGTTAAAAAAGCAACATCACGCTGCACACCCACCTGTCTGGTCAGACTCAGAACCCCCCACCCAAAAATATATATATATATATATATATGAAGTTTTTGTCAATTCTCGCTGACTTCTCACCCACTGACGAAGCCCCATGCCACAATTCAAGTAGATCTCTGTCTCCCTCGCCCTCCATCTATGTATCAGTGTGTGCAGGTTAGGCAGGGACGAAGTAAATCATTTTCTTTTGCCCTAACTGTAGCAAAACAACTACGACCATGCAACTGTGTTAGTTACTAACAACGAATGATCCATCATGGTTGTTAGACTACTGTTCTTGATGGATGACTAGATTGGTTTAAATACTCGTCATGTTTTGCAGCACTACTTCAACAGTATTTTTTAGTGAAGAAACAATGATTTCTTCTCACAACAAATCAGCATCAGTATCAGCAACAGCTAAATTTCAGCGAAACGAAATATTTACCTAAATGACTTTCGCAAGGGTAGCTTCTTACCAACATCGACGTGGCACAATATCGTTCATGTTTTCAAACGACAAAGCAATACTTTTAGATAGCTATAAAATTTCATCTTAATGTGTACTAATGGCCCGTTCGCTTCGCTGAAAAAACAAGTCGAAACACTGTTCCGGCTGATTTGTTGTGAGAGAAAAACACTGTTCCGGCTGAAAAAAACAAGCTGAAAAGTACGGATTACAAGAGAAGCGAAGTCTTCTACAACTCCCGCAGCAAGAACGCGAGGCTTTTCCCTAGTATCTATAAAGGATAGAACGACTTATAATTTAGAAAAAAAAAATATACCGGTAACTTTGCTATGCCATTATGTTGGATCAAATTTTGAGAATCTAAGTTTATTTAACTACATTCACAAGAGGTATATCCATACGTAATAATAAAAATGTAGCTCCCAGAAACCAATACGATCTGGCTCTTTGTTTCTTTTCACAAGAGGTATGAAGAATTAAAAACACCAAAGTTCATAAATTCTTAAAAAACTAACAAACCAAATTATATGCATGCTTAATACATAGAAGCTGAGATCTAAATCATAAAGTTCATAAATGCTTAATACACTGAAGTTCATCTTGAGAGTCAGGTCGACAACACATGCCCCTCACCCTTTTCTTCGGGACCTCAACAACGATCTCGAATAGGCCCCTAACGTTATGGGGTACAACCCTACCGTAACCCTTGGTCTTCCTAATCTCCCCGTAAGAGTTGATAACTCCCAAAAGGACACGACGTTCTCCACACCCAGGGCAAGGACACATGACGTATGGACTCTCATCTTGCTGTCGTTGTAAGCTTTGTAGGATAGGATGCCCGCTTGCTGATAGTGGATGATGTACTGCTGGAACGTTTCGTCGACATGGATCTCAGTCAGAAGGGTCCGTTAGTCCCCAACTCTTAATGGCATCTATAATAGCATGTTCATTTAGCTTGAAAAAGAACATGCACGAGAGGATCTTGAATGTGCTCCTGATCCAACTGGTGCCCTTGCTCTAATTAATAAACCATGCATGGAGAATTAGCATTAACTTCATTAGCCTTACTATGTACGTAAGCTAGGATCTATCATCTAGTAAGATACTGGCTAGTATAACTGATCGAATAGAATGTCTAACTATAATGCACGGACCTTCTCCTATTCTCTGTCTGAGCAAATTTCAAGAGTCTTAGCCACCCTAAAGCAGCACAGTGTTTGGTCTTGTTCTAGATATACCATCACTTGCTCATTCTGGATTAGATCTTTTACAGATAGCTTCTACACACAGAGCTTGCTCTACCTCATGTGGGACTCCATTCGTACTGCATATTATATATACAGATAGATTAAAAGAACTTACTGTTAGTACGTCTACAAGACCATATATAGCGTATAACATTGTATATTCATGTTAGTGTCAGATTAAACAAGCGAAGAGAATTTCTTACCACCCTCTTCAGCAATGGCGGATACAACTTCGTAACATTAGGTGTACATAATATTTTTTTTTTAAATTAAGACTATGTCTAATAGATAAATGTTAACAACAATATATAGGACATTATTAATGGTTTTAAAAACTTTGTTCTTATGTTGGACTCATGTACATATCATTCGCATATAATTTCTAGTACAAACACGATCTCCTAAATTTCTCCTACTTTACGTTGTATTATCATAGGCCATGTTCATCGGCCCCGGCTTT